CAAGAAGGTGAATGCCTGAGGAAAGACCGTACATGGTGACTGGCAGTGTTACCGTCCCAGGAAGGCAACCACTGAATGAATACTGTGTTGATATTCAAAGCTGCGCTGAACGAAATACATTGACTTCCGACCTGGTATCCAGCGGCAGCGGCAGCCATCTGATGTACGATCTGCTGATCCTGCACGGCAGTGAGAGACCAGGTACAGAACAGGGCATGTTACGACTCACGACGACGTAGGCTTCCAAGCGCAACTGAGGGAGAGAGAGACAGAGAGACAGAGAGACAGAGAGACAGAGAGACAGAGATAGAGAGACAGAGAGACAAAAAGACAGAGAGACAGCGAGACAGAGAGACAGAGAGACAGAGAGACAGAGAGGGGCAGAGCCGGCTGCCTAGTCGCCTGGCGCCTGCCTGGAGCCTGCCTGCCTGCCTGAATGATTGACTGACCCCATCACTTACTCACTACCTCACTCGTTCACTCCTGATAGATAAACACCAACCCTTGTCGAGTCGCCTGAGTCCTCAGTTGCCAGAAGGTCGGAAGCCTGAGCAGCATCTGCAACATGCAGAAGAAGTTGTTCTAGCTGCAGCAAGAACAAAACGCGCTGCAACAACACCCTAACAGGGACCCTGGAAACTTTCATACCAAGGCACTCTGCCGGTGCCATTGGCCTGGGTAAGCATGGTGACAAGACCGAGCTACTGTTCGTCATCTTTCGCGTAAACTTAACTAGTCTTGCTTCTCTTGTGTTCCAAGACCCCTTTTCGCATCCCCCTCCCACCAGCAGAGTGCCAGCTGCATGTTTCTCAGGCTGCTGCTTTGCCTCGACAGGGTGCCTTGGCGAAAATTCGCTTTCGTAGCATGACCACGACCCAGGCTTTGCAAGAATATTGCACTTTGGGCTGGCAGACTGACAACTCAAGAAGAACAATGAATAGCAATACTGAGCTGCATCCTTGCACCGTAGACTTCATGCAACCTTCGGCGAAACTTATGTGCCAGCTCGGGGTACTAACTCGTGCAGCCTTCACATTCTCCTTCTTCCGGGCAGCACTGCCAAGCTTTCGTTCCACACTGTCTGAGCTGTGTGCGACCGGTCACCGTCAGCAGCAGCCTACCAGTGGCGGCGAAGAGCCACGCAATTTGTGAAAATCGAAAGACGGAATCAATCAAGCCCGCCTCGGCCCCAGGGCGGAAGGCACCACCGAATCCCATGCCCTGGCGATGAACAGCACTAGATAGCTGCAGCAGGATGTGAGACTCCCTTCGGATGAAGCTGAGCACTGTAAAATGATGCCTGAGAGAAGCCTGGAAGTAAAAGCATGCACCGGAATCAGCTGTTCCACATGGCAGGCAGGCGATGTCACTGGCTGGCCCTGTACCTCATGCAAGATCTTAGGTCTTAGGCTCCTTTCGATTCTCCACCGCACTGCGGCTCCGCCTCCTGGTGTCGGCAAGGGCGGCGGCAGCACCGGCCTCGTTGGGTCACACAGGTCACAGGCCTTCGGTTCGGACCCGTCTTAAACACGTCTGGAAGGCCCCAGTGCGTCACAGAGGTCAACCCCCGGCCTGGACATGCAGCTTCTGCCAGTCTGCGAAGCAGGAACGCAGCGCAAAGAGTGTGTGCGCAGGGCCAAGATTCCAACATCACCAAACCACCATCTGCAGGGAATCGCGGCCTCTGACTCTGCACGAGAGCTGCAAGTTGCTGCAGCGGACTGCTACTGTCCGATACCGTCCGCATGCCACAAGAAAAAGCACACCCTTTTAGCTCGGCACATTCCCAAAAAGTGTTGGTTGTTCAGAGCTGACCTGATATGCGTGAAATGCAGAATATCAACCCAAAACTACAAGGCGATTGCCGCGGCAGACCGGCCAAGTGCCATGCATCGCACAAGGCGATGGTGTTGAAATCGGGGCACCTTGGCAGTTGCGGGCGCGGCTTCCGGGACTCCGATGTTCCAATGTCTTTCGCTTTCTGCAAGACATGTTTTCTTACAACCATGCATCGGTCTGGAACTGCGACACCTCTCCCCGAAGCAAAAACAAGGGTCGCATTGCGGGAGAGAGGGTGGAGATAAATCTCTTCAAGATGCAGGGCTCTGGACTGCTCCTCTCTGCCCGCACCGCTGTTCTTGATGTTTAGCAGAACCTAGTACCCATGTCACTGCTCAACTGATTCGGTAAGGGAATGTTGCATGAGCATTACACAACTCGCTCCGATTGGAAATGTTGTAACGTTTTGGTTTTCTCTGCTGGAGCGTTTCGACCAAGACAACTATACGTCACTTCGTGACATCGTCGGGTGTACTCATTCTGCACATGCTGCTGCGCCCACAACTTTTCCGCCTTCCCGTCCGTTTCTCTACAAAAGTCACCCGTGTTTCCTGAAACCCTGGTTGTGCGCTTTGGTCGGCGAACGGAAACTACGCGTGTGATGCGGCTTCTCGCGTGCTGCAGAAGGGGAAGAACAAAGCTCTTGAGAAAGAGCTGCAAGGCATCACAAGGTAACAGGATCGCAGGTTTGAAGGATGCCGACGCAAGGATCATGAGTGCCCAGGTCTTGGACAAGACGACCTTCAGCAGGATGCTGCACGGCTCTCTTGCAGACAACCGTGCACGCTCGGTCGGTGGGGCATTCCAAGCCCTATAGTCATAATCTTCCATAAACGCCGAGGCTTGGCACGACTCCTCGTTTGACATGCCAGGGCATACAGAAACGCGAAGGCCACGACTTGGAAGCCTATCAAGGTAACCGGATAGACCCCACAACGAGCGACGGAGCCCTCACTCCGCGGGACAAGTTCGCCAGACCTTGGGAGTCGTCACAAGTTCAGACCGCGATGAGTGGCAAGCCTTGGACCTGAAAACGGAAGCGGCACATCATGGCAAACCCTAAATCACAAGAGGGGTTCGGAGTGGCAGAAAGTGGCAAACTCCCTCAACAACAGAAGGTGGGAAATGGGACATCCCCAAAGGCGAATGGAGGTGGCAAACCGAAACGGCGGAGCTGCTTTTCGGAACGCCCACTACACGCAGCCAGCGAACAACTTATAAGTAGTGTTCAACCCCATTGTTGAAGCGCATCAGGAGCCTCATTTCTGCTGCAACCGGGCTTCAGGCCAGCACCACCACCAAAGCTACCGTAGTGATAGTGGGTCGGCCTGAAAGCTTGCTTCACGGCATGTCGCGAAAACAGCATGGCATCTGAGCTCATCATGCAAAGGGCAGAGCTGCAAATCCTCTTCTGAACATAGAGCCCCCTTAGCCGACGGCTCTGGCGTGTTCTGAACACTTCGATGTGCTGTGGCTGGATTCGGCGAGTCCAAGAATTCCTGCCGAAACATCACGAAGCAGGACAAAGACTCGAACGAGACCAGAACCCTGGAGAGCTGTTCGCACTCAACCCTCCTTCTCGCCGGCCAACCTTGCAGTTGCAAGTTCACGCTCTGGAGAAGGAGTTGAATCCTCCGGACGGAATGCATGAAAATTGACGGCACCAGGCAGCCCTCGGATCACTCCAGTACCACTGGCCTCCATGGGAGCCGGCGTGACCACCGTGCCTCGCTGTTTTTTCGCAACAGGAACCCCAGGACCGGCTGTCTTGTTACTTGCGGTACACCGAGCGCAGGCTCCAGCCTTGCTGTGTTGACTGTGTTTATGTCTATGCCGTGCTGCTATCATACCGAGTGGCCGAGGTCTGTTCCCACCGGCGTTGGGGCCTGGGTCAGATTCAGATGCCGTTTGCGACAAGGCTGACAGTCTGTCAGCTAACCAGCTAACGTGATCAAGCCCATGTGGCTTGCTTCCGAACAGCGTCAGCCACGGATTCGGATTATCCTCTGGCTCAGGGCAGCACCTGTGGATCATCCCAACCTGGAAGAAGCAAAGCTAGTGGAGTGCAAGCATGGTGGCAGATCTTTTGAAGTCTTCAGCCTTCGGCCAAGCGGCTGAGCGACTTCGGGCGGGTTGCCTGCGACACCTTCGAGGCCTGGCAGTCACACTGGCACAGTCCGAGTCCGCGGATGGCGTCCAGAAACATCTCCAATCATGGTCCCTCATCCCATCTACTCATCTACTCTGATAGTGACTGCTGGTGTCTTCATGTGCATAACAGAGCAGGCAACGCCCCCGGACCTGAAAAGCTGTCTCTCAGGGGCACGTCCAGGCTCTTGCAGTGGCACCACTGCGGAAGTACGGCGGAACAATACGAGTTTAGCCTTGCATGCTGCAACGCTGCACCGCTTCGAACGTTCCTGTTCGAGCCAGTGGATAATTTAAAGAATTCGAAATTGGCCACCAACGGCTTTGCCATCTCCGGCGGGCCGTGGGGCTCCTGGCTGAGGTGGCGTTGACCTTCCAGCCATCCGAGTGCCCCCCCCACACCTTTGGGTGTCGGACGGAACAAATCCTGCGATGTGTGGAACATGCCGACGGCAATGCACTGTGCTAGTGGAAACCTGTATCCTTTCACTATCCAGCTTTGCCATTGCTGTGGCAAACCTGTACTGTTTCATGGCCTAACACGAGACAGCACTTGTTGCAAGTGGTCTCGCAACGCTGGGAACAATGGGCACGGAACGTCTTCAGGCATCGAACAAACCGTGACACCTTAGAGGTTTCACGCAAATCACTCAGTTTTTTGTGATTGAAGCATGTCGTGAGGTTCAGACTTCCTGTCACACATGACCAAGCCATGTCACCAGCCAGTCGGCGGAACCTGCCAGTCGACGGGCACACGAACTCCTTGCGGGCATTCATTCAAGTGCCTGTGGAGCTGTACGCCCAAATGAATCATCTCAGACTGCAGCACTCGACAGATTGACAAACCAATGCAGCCATTCACATTCGAACCAAGTGCTCCTGATTCTATAATCGCACCTAAAGTTCAACTTAGTTCAACTCACCGAAACTCAACATCCAGAAGCAGAAGGCATGGCTCTGGGATGCTTACTAAGGCTGCTCCTGACGACCAGTACACGTCCGGTGGAAGCTCCTCAGCCACCAAGCTCGGCTTGGACTTGGCTGCTGTCCTCGGTGCGAACGGACGCAGATTTGGACAAGGTACCCTGGAACCGATAAGTGCAGCCACAGGAACGCCACCGAAGCTCTCGTGACCCCATGTCACCTGAACGTTCTCGGAAGACAATAGAATATCTGCGGGTTTTACAGGACGCGACACGCCTGTGACATCAAAGCATGCGAGATATCTCTGTGGTAGAGTATGGCACCTGTACAACTATGTACCAACAGTACCAACACATGAAGTTGAAGACCGCAACATGTCTGCCGTGTGTTGGCCTTTGGGCAGCTACGGGAGAGGCATGAAGCTCTGCTTCCAAGAGACTAGCTGTCCCGCGGCTGTCAAAGCAGCAAAAGCGCCCGTGGAGCCAACAATCTGCAATGGTCACATACTGCCAACTTTAGCACACTTGCTGGCGGAAGAACACTTCGGCCCAACCCACGTTCGACCAGTTTTCCTACCTACCGAGTACTGCCAGATACTGCCACGCTTCGAGGCCTGCTTGACCATCAAGAGGCGTTCTTGCACATCGCCACTGTCACCCCCTGCATCGCTTTGCCCCCAGCTGACGACGGTTCCGTCCTCCTGTGGCACGTGCTGAACTGCAATTGCTTTCGCTCAACATGCAGAACTGGGATTGGAGCTGGGGAGCCTTTGGAAGCTTACCAGAGCCATAGCAGTGAGACTCCTTGCAGCATCTTGGCAGCAATCCCTTCGCAAGGCAAGGCTATACAGCTTCAGCTTGTCGCAGCTACCGTGAGAGCTGCTGCAAAACCCGCCAAGCCGTTAAACTCTGGAACCGTGACAGCTCAGAACGAGCTAGCAGCACCAACGGCGAGATGATGTCGATAAAGGGGTGAGGGAATCTGTACCACGGACGGCGCCCTCTTCAACATTGGCGGTGTCTTGGACTTGTAGAAGTCAAATCTCGAAATATAGTCAGGCAGTTGAGTGCGCGGGGAAGCGGTGTCCAAGCGAAAAACCTTACTTGATTTGTCAAACCAGTATGTCGCGCACTGGAAAGGGCCCTCCTGTCCCAAGCACACGCACCCGATGACATAGGATTCGTGCCACTGCTGTCACACTCACCCCAAATAGGAATGACATCGACAACAACAGAAGCCAAGCCAGAAAAAATGTCCATGAAGCGATGGTCACATGGAAATGAGCCTTGATGGCGGCAAAGGCGTTTTCGGTGGCTGCGACCTGGCGAGCGAGAGCGGCTGCTTGGCACATCCCTGTCGGAAAGGAGTCAACAACTCGTGCTGCACCTCCTCCACGTTCAGGAGCTGCTCGCGAACTGCGGTGATGTCACCGCCGCGTTCCTTACATGCTATCGGATGCTATGGGGTTCCTGCTTCTCAACGATGTCCCCAGGTTGATGCCACAGCTGCTAGACTCCTCTCCTACAACACTGCTTTCCCCACCAGTTCTTCTTTTGCTTGGTGAGAAGGCAGGGGATGCGAACGGTACCAGTCTCCTTCTTCAACCGAGTTCGCGCACTAGGAGTGTGCTCTCTCTCTCTCTCTCTCTCACGCGAGGCTGCCCGCTCTCCTTCAGTTCGGACCCGTGCGACACGTGCGCCGGACTGTGGTGGCCTATCTCGCGTGCCGACAGGACTCCGGGCATTGAAGCTGACAGATGCATCCGCTAGTTGCACAGATGTCGGAAAAAATCAAGTATGGCCAAGCAGTGGCGCTGAGCATCAGCTGATAGAAGATAGTGCGCCGAACCCACTATGCACCAACACCAGCACTAAATCCGTAGCTCTCTCTTTTGCTGCTCAGGGCATGGGCCACACACAGTCCCTGGGATCCCCTCGGATAAACTGCCCCATCCACCGGCGGGGTGGCCTGACATAGTCTCTAGCTCAAGGGCTTCGGCAAACCACTTTCCTCCAGTGTATGAGTCTGCCGTGAAGTTCAGGGTCCAGTGGCAGGTCGCAGGCAGCGCTGTGTGTCTATACGTGGGGCTCCGGCTTTATTTTCGGGACAAGGGTTCGTTAGCGCAAGAGACCCAGAAACCTCATTCTACTTGCCTCCACGGCAGGAGCCCGACTCTTTCTTTCCCTCTCTCTCAATGTCTGTCGTGGCCACCGATCAGCTCCAAGCTTCTGGATCTCCCCAGCAGATAACTTCGCCTGCGATGCGAGATGGTTCGTAGGACTGTTTTGCGGTATGCGCCCATAGCCAGGGCCTTCTTTCGTGATAGCTGCGAATGCACTGCCCGAAGGGATGATTGCCTCAAGGCGCCATGCTGCAGTCACGACCGTGCCAAGCTGCGAAAGCGAAAAACGTAGTTGCAACCGCCCGCCCTGAAGCCGATGGCTACTGAAGCTTGCGACGAATCGCGCCGACGAGCGATTCGGCAGTCCCCTGCAACGGTGTCTGGCGATGTGTGTTTTGGATGTTGTCGCCCGGGACGCATGCGTGCATACAGCACGAAACTGCCCATTGCACGCCACGCCCATCGACACCCTAACCTCCCGGCACCATAAGAGGTCAGCTCTTGTTGATGTGGAAGAGTTCCGGTGGTCATAGTTCGTACTGATAGCACGCTCCCATGCCCCGACGGGCGTTGCTCATGCGCCCAAATCTTGTATCAAACCGTTTGTCGCGCCATTACCTACTACGGGCAAACGCTAAGTGGTGCCCGGCGATCTCCGACGTCAATTTAGTCGAAATTAATCGAGGTCATCCATGATACAAGCCAGGAATTTGCGGGCAGGCCCTCGGAAGCAAAGAGTGTCGATATGCCTTCACGTGTAACAGAATGATGGACATGTTGGATGGCAGAAACGACAAACATTGTGACACCTGCTCACGTCCTGTGCCCATCTTCGGCTGCATCACAAGCCACGGAAGAACAGAGGAAGTTGCATCCAGGATGCTTTAGCATGCTGAATCCGACTGGTAAGATCCTTAGATGTTCGGCTAAGGAGCCTATGCGCTGTCATGATCGCCATTGCTGCACTGCTATAGCAACTGCACTGCGGGGTGTTGTCCCAAAAGCTGAAGCCACGTGTCCGTTGCAGATCCACCAAGTTCCGGCAAACCCCAGCACACCACGCTACCGTCGGACTTGACGGCAGCAAAGGCACCGGCAGTCGCCTCGTCAAGTCGAAAAGATCGAAAGGAAAACTGCTTGAACATGGGTCACGACTCACAACAATTCTCTCCGCAGAATTGGCTCCATGGCAGACACACTCCAAGGCAAACTTTGACCGTTGTGCCCTGTCAAACCATGCTCCGCACGCAGTGTGTAAGGCCCGTGATATCTTACGCGAAGCCTGCTGTTCAAACAAAGCAACTCAAAGGATGATGCGAGAATACCGCTGCTGCACAAAGCGTCAACTTCCTGCTTTTGCTGAGGCCCTGCCTGTCCTGCTACACCAGCTGCGCAAGGATAACCTGATCCCCTGTCGGCTGAAACCTCAAGATGGGCCGTGGCCCGCTATGAAGACGCAGCGGGAACCTGCAGGCTTCGAACTCCAACCAACTCTGCTGCGACTTTGCTGGCATCGCCACCTCATTCGAACAATGACCGACGAAACTGCAAAGCAAAGCTGCGATGGGTGGATTCGGTAACAAGGAACATGGGCCCACATCCTGCCTGCTGTACGTTTGCTCGCAAACGTGGACTCCCGAATTAAACTTGCTCAACCGATTGAACCACAGTGCAGCTACCCAGAACGAAAACCCGACTGTTCAAGCCAGGGCACCGAACAGCGGATCCCCCCAGACGACAACATCACCACTGCCTGTTCGGGTCCAATGTGTCTTGCGGATGATCTGCAGAACATGCTAGACATGCGACAAGCAAATGCTTGAAGCGGTAACTAAAGGCACAAGTGGGAAACGACAAGATCACTTGTTTCGATGCGTAATGAACAGTTGCAGACCAGTGCAAGCAACAGGATCCATTTCATTACACTCACTTGCCTGTAATGGCCGCGAAAGCTGCTGAGGTGGCACAGATGCTCTGCACCTTGGCGCTTGTAGACCCAGCTATCGAAAGCGCAGCTCTATCACAGCCTGCAGACGGTGCCATTAAGGCTGCAAAACCTGAGCTGCTTGCGTCTTGAAGCTGCGCTGAGACACTTCGGCTGTCGCCCCCGTGACCTGGGAGCGCATCTCAAAAGATGACACTGCAAAGCAATGCTGGCTGGATCAAGCACCATAAAGAGTGAAGGAAACGCCACGACACTACATCCTTTCCAGCCGGAGCACAGGCCGAGCCCCAGGTGATCACGGAGCCATGAGCCGTGAGGGCAGCAAAAGCAGCACCAGAGCCACCTTGGAGCCATGAGCGTCCGGGGTTAAGGTTAACACGACCGCCCGTCGAAGTGCATGCCAAAACGCAGATGTGGATGACATCCTTCAGATCCTCGTGCACCTAAGGGCAAGCTGGCTCCCTGTCGGTTCCGAAAGATGCTATTCTGAATCAGCTGTCGAAGAACAATCAGTGCATGTGGCCCTGGTGGAGTAACTGATCGGGAATACCCCGCCACAAAATGTTGACACGGCGACAAGACGAGCAGAAGCTCTTCCCGAAGGGTGCACGCAGAAAGCGATTGACTATCGGCATCGTCTCTTTTTGAGCGGCCTCAACGATCCTTCTTTAGAGCATGAATCCCTGGCCCTGTTCCTTGACGGCAGGATGCAACATTATCCAAGTAGTTTTGTATCAAACCAACTTCCTGAAAGTGGCACAAGACCAAAGCCATCCTGCACCTCGGCTACAACATCGGACACAGCTTCCTGTATGAACTGGCACTGGTGGGCCGTCGAAGGGATGGCAAGCACCGAAAACAGAGGAAAAAACATGCTGATCACGGATTGACCCTGACTTCGTTTGTCTTGCGGCACCTCTGTGCAGTCGCCACCCCAGTCCTCCAGGGGCTACCCATGACGAAGTACTGTAAGCTTACTGCACTTCCTGGTTCGCATGGGCAACATATTGTCTGACAGATGCTGTGGTAGTTATTTGTAGCTCGCAGACCATACGCTCGGCTTAGGTTTGTGGATGTAAACTGTCGTCGCACAGCGATTGAACAGCGGCTGCGGCCAGCTCTGGCAGGAACTATGGTTTGGGGGCAAAGGAGCGCTGAAAGCCTGCTGGCGCGGTGCACCAGCGATGTTCTGGAATTGATAGCTTGTGTGTGAGCGGTTGATACAGGCAGTACAAGCTAGGAAGCCATTGCCATAGTGCAGTGGTAGGGTCCTCGTCGCCCCAAGTGACGACGGCACCATCCGCACCTGGTGAGGAGATCATGAACATTGCCTTGTGAAAAAGTTCGGTTTGATTTCCGAATCACGAATAGTGCGTAACTCCAGCAACTGTATGGACCACACCGCCTACCACCTCCCTAAAGATCTCTCATATGCAGGAAGGAAACGGATAGCAGCGAAGGCTCCAGCAGTGCTGAAGACTTTCTGAACGTTCTGTAGCTCCTCTTCGTGTCGTGCAGCTGCTGCATGCACAAACAGAGAGGGATTAGAATACGACTCTAGGCGGTTTCCGCGCTGGATTGACCGGTGTATGCTGTAACACAATGACTGTACTACCCGAAATGCTGGGCTTTGAAAAGCCTTTACAAGAACCGCTTTCTCTACACAAGTCAAGCGTCAGGTGGGTGTGGTGACTTTGGCACACAGTCCTCCTGGACTGCATCGCTATCACCACCCAGATCTTCGCAGCCCCAACTGACCTCATCACTTGCGGTGCGCTAAGTCTGCATGTGTCTGATCTCCCCTCGGACTCATATGTCCGAATCATAGAACCAGCCGAGCTTCCACGGTGCCATCACGCCGAAGCGCTGCACAGGCTCGTGCTGTCATCTTCACCTCGGTTCTCTGCGAAATATATGTGCCTCCGTACAGCCTCTTCAGGCTATCCAGTCAGGTAACATCCCAAACATTGATAAGTTCATCTTGGACATCACTGCTGTCTCCACCACTGTCTTCATCGCCCCATGCAATGACTGAGCCGTCCTTCTGAATGGCGCAGATAGCATGCGACAGTCGGTTTGCGTGTAGCTGAAGCTTGTGCTTTGCCATAAATGCTCCCACAACATCGCCATCCTGAATACCAGCGTCTTGCAGAGTGCTCGTCCCTCGCAGAAACTCCGCACCACCTGGCTGAACCAGAATCCCTAAAGAAGTCTGGAGCTGGGATTCTGCAGCTTTGCGGAGATCTTCGACGGAGCTCCCGGGCTCCATTTCCACGAGAACACTTTGCCCGCTGAGGATTGCTACGGATACGTGTAGACACATGCAAGGTGCACAGGACCGCAGGGGTGCGGCGAAACCGGCACCTGGCACGTCGGGTAGTAAGAGAATTCGCTATCGAGGCGTGAATCGTAAATGGCTGCAGGGAGCACACATCGAACAGCCAGCCACGGACAGAAGTAACCCGGCAGCCACTGATCTCAGAATGCTCTGCACGTGCACATGACAGGACCAGTCCTACACGAAACCTATTACAGCGACTGGCAACCTGATTGTTGAGTTTACGGGAGATGCGAACCTTTTTTTGAGCACCGCCTGATTGAAAACAATCGACTCGTCATGACTCATCTGCACTTGACCCATGCCTGGCTCTGCCTCTTCTCATGACAGAGTTTACGGCAAGGGTGAATGAGGGATTTTGATGGATTCGGGCTTCTGCCATGTGTGAATTTGTGCAGAACTTGCCGATCCATGCTATAGCCTCCGCTGCCTGCACCGCAAACACTAGTTGCTGCGCGGTGCTTTCTTCCTTTTCAAACCTGCAGGAACCCTGGTCTTTCGAAAGCTTTCGTCAAGCCAGGCCCGGAAAGATCTCCTGATAGCTATCCATGGCACAACGAGGCCACAAGAGGCCAAAAGGTACTCTTGCCAAGGAAACATGGAAACTTGAACGCCAAAGCGGGAAACAAAGTGCCTCTGTGTGCGGCCTCCGGCAAATAGCGACGAAAAGTAGTGCACATGCAGCACCTGCAGGACAGCCCGTCGCATTCGAACTATGCGCTCAACCGGCCTCTGTTGGACCAGCTCAGAGCGGTACGACGCAGCCAGCCGTAGATGTGCAAGGCACTTAATGCAATCATCTAAGCAAAAAAGAATTCTACCACCGAAAAGGCAGTTTTGCCACCCTGCAGAACAAAAACACAAGTAACACGGCGAAAATCTTTTCAGCTATGCAAGACGATGACACATTGGGCAACTCTGCCTGTCGGGCCTCACGAAGGTAACAAGCATGCTGCGACGGCTCTATTGTTTCAAGACCCATGTTTCGACCTGGGACTCTTGCAAGACCAGGTGCGCCATAACTACACAAGAAAGTTATTGTGTGCCAGCAGCTGATTCCCTGCTGGCAGTGGGGACGATCTGCAGTGCCAGTGTTCACAAAGCTGGCTGTTGATCTAAATTCCTTCATGCCGGAATGACGTTCTTCACGAATAAAACGGTAACTTTCGCGCCACCATCCCTGAACCTTTGCGAAGGCATTTTTACATACCTTTACAAGTTCGAACCCTAAGTTGTGAGCTACAAGCTTCTCGATGACAAGTTGTTGCGGGCATTACAATTAAAAAAAAGCTTCTGGCAGGCTGTTTAGGGGTTTCAGAGCTGCGTGAAAGCTACAATACTTGGAAACGGCTGGTTAAGGCCGTCTCTACAGGCTTCAGGGCTTCCGTAGACTTAGGGGTTGGATTGCTGACGATGTCCACGGTCCATCGGGAGGGGTCTTGATCTGGCTACGTCGACTTTAACGTCACTTACGCGGAGCTTAGGCGGAACTTACGCGCTAAGCCCTGTACTGGAACCTAATTTTTGGGTCTGTCGTTGCTTGCACATAGGGTAGTAGTAACACTGCTAACTACTACTACTACTACTACTACTACTACTACTACTACTACAACTACTACAACTACTACTAGCCACCC